TAGTATATATATATGTGTGTGTATATATATATATATATATATATATATATATATATATATATGTGTGTGTGTGTGTGTGTGTGTTAATATGTGTGTGTGCGTTAATATATATGTGTGTGTGCGTATCCATATGAGTGGATGGTTATATCCATGTGTGTATATGTTGCTGCTGTCTGTAGTGCTTCTGAATGCTCGAATCCATTCATTCCCATAGTCTCCTACTACCTACTCCATGTGCCATATGTTAATGCATCTGCTACACCTTCTCTTGATTAGTACTACTTACAGTCTTTTACGTTTTAACTTTGAACATTTATTTCATTCAGTGGGCCGTGTGTACAAAATGGCGGAGGGCAAAACGTTCGTCCACAGTAAGACTGGCTACACAATGTTCTTCGCGGAAGAGAAGAAGAAGTTCGATGGTATGTGGTGTCCTTGTTCACCTCGTGTCTCTGGGGTTATTAACTATTTATTATCATCTCTCACACAGAATGCATAGCATATCACATACTCAAAACCCTAAACCTACATTCCAAACCCTTCAACCCTCTAGTACCACTTATCCCTCAGAATACGAAACATGTCATATGTTGAAACATACAAACCCTAAAACCCTCTAGTACTATCGATCTCTCACAATGCGGAGTATATAATAAATTTTACATATTTGCGGGTTTCAGTTCGGGACATGATGTTTTCTTAGCTTTGAAGTACTACCGTCTGCTGTGCTTTATAGGCGTCCGTGGAGGCTGTAAGTCTGCCCCAATGCATTTGATAAATTGATTTTTTTGCTTATCACCATTAGCTGATACGTTCATATCCCGATGTATCTGTATTATACCTTAACGTAAACGAATTAAAACAATAACAAATTGTGCTCACAGCCCTCGGACCAACATCCATCCCAACTGTCGAAGTGCTATTCATTGAAATTAATTAGCAACCATCCCAATTTTCCTACTACCAAAAACTGAAGTTATTCCGCATCCTAATATCCAAATTTGCATACCCAAACTGCACCCATGGCTCCACAACAGCCGAACCCACCAAATTTTCGGTGCCCGAATTCAGTACCATGGTCAGTACAAAGTGGAAAGACTTGGCGCGTGCCGAGAAAGACGTCTACACCAAACAAGCGGCGGCCGAGAACACTCGCCTGGCCAATGTACAGTACATTGAGTACGATGAGAGTGATCTGCCCAAGGTACGCCTGAGCACCCACAGGGGAAATGGCTGGGGGTTGGCATATGTAGCCGTGTATTTGGTGGTCTGTAATTTTTATGTGTTTTCTGTTGAGGCTGTCTGTCTGTATGTGTCTGTGGCTGTGACTGTGTATGTGTGTGTGTGTGGGAGAGAGAGAGAGAGAGTGTGTGTGTATGAGTTCTACATGCGTAGCTACGTACACACTTGAAGGAATGAATAGCCTCACAAATTATAAGTCGGTGCTATTGAACTTGAATGCTACCACTCTCCCGACCTCTTGAATTCTCACTGAGATTGTCATATACCCGAGTTAATGCGTACGCGCCTTTGTGTGCATGTGTATGTGCAAAAGTTGGTCCGTCTGCCTATGTGCATGTACACGCTTATGTAGCAAAGTGCGTCCAACTCGACGACGTATGTGAACCAACCACATGGACTTGACGTATCGAAACGAAATAGCAGATAGAGCGTATGAACACCGTCTCAATTCCACGCACAAACAGACACGCAGACTGGTATAAAAGTGAATACGCAAGCTTTAGGCCTATGTGATTTGGTACTTGCGGGCTGAATATATACATATATATATATATATATATGTGTGTGTGTGTGTATGTGTGTGTGTGTGTGTGTGTGTGTGTGTGTGTGTGTGTGTGTGTGTGTGTGTGTGTGTTGTATGTATGTATATTATTATATGTATATATATATATATGTGTGTGTGTATCTATCTATCTATGTAGGTAGGTAGGTAGGTAGGTATATTCTATGTAATATGTATATATATATATATATATATCGTCCTCACAACCTTCTTAGGCGTGGACAAGAACACCATGTGTATGTTGGAAATTCGAATGTGTGGTCAAAATCTCGTGGAGAAGCTTAGACAAGTCCCAATTGGCAAGAGTCAATGCCCAGCTGACTGTATCACTTTCGACCCCCGGATTTAACTTCTAACCAATCAATTGTGTTCTATAAATAGCTCCCACCCGACCAGGATGTGCTGACGTGTAGGTGGGAGATGGGTGAAGCACGTGGTAATACATGTAACCGCCTTTTCAAGTGCGAAGACGGTTTAGCGCGCCATATCATGGCAGATCACTTTGGCGATAGCTCCCCACACCCCTGCCGATGGCTCGATTGCACTCGCAACATAAGGCAAGGTCCCTTCTGTGTGGCTGTGGGCTTGTGTGCTTGTGTGCCTGTGTGCTTGTGTTTTGGGGTACACTCACCACCCACATCAGGAATGAACACGTACGTGGTGCATATGATCCTTCATTCTAGAACTGTTTATACCAACTTTTCTCTATGAATAGTAGCACAGGAACGAGATGTCCCTACATATGATCCTTCATACTATAACTGTTTATACCTATCCATCCCTTATTATTAATCACACAGGAACAAGATGTTCGACCGCAAGGGCAAACTCACTGCCCACATCAGGAATCAACATCTCCGCCGCTCCAACTGGCCCGCAGCTCTGTTTCGATCACTGCACAGTCGCAACGCCATAGTCTACGAACACGCACCCCCGGCACCCCCATTACATGTCATCCCTAACAGACCGTTTGTTGCAGTATGTTGAGTGTAGTACTATCTTATGTACGAATGGGTAGAAGAGAATGTCTGTGTGCGCCTAGATTGAGCAAAAGAAAAATATTCAGGACGCACGTGTGTTAGTATATATATATATATATATATATGTATATTCGCATATATATATGTGTGTGTGTGTTTGTGCATGTATAAATATATATATATATATATATATATATATATATATATATCCATGCCTTAGAGAAGAGGATCGTGTTATATCATTCTAAGAGCACACACCCCCTCCATCCACCCCCTAGCACACACCCACACACCCTTCTAACAATTTTATACCCACGAGATGGTACTACCTAAGGGTAGTCCCTATCTACAAACCATGTCTATACGTCGGTGGCTATTCTCATCTGTTCAGTATAGTTGCTAGAATCAAGTACGCGTGTGTGAAATGTCGCGCAATCCGATATGTTTGTGTATGCAGGTACCCCTGATCGTGCTGAAGAGTACAATATGCCGTCACCAGCGACGGCTCACCGTCTCCCGAGTCACAAACGGTCTAGATACGCACATGGGTGTTACTCCATCTAAAAACAGGTTTTGAAATGAAACGTAAATAACCCAACAAGAAAATGTCCTCACCTGAATTCCTAATGTCCTCATTTGCAGGCGCCGGTCCTATCCGAACAACTCATCCAAAGTCAGGGCCGTGTGTTGTTCCCACCACACCCCACCGAAGAGATGTTTATGCCACCTGGAATTGACTTCTTCACACAGGTAGTGCTCAGACTTACTGGAACACAGTGGACGCTGGGCACGTTTTGTGTGGGCTTTGTGTGTATGGCTGCTGTATTTGCCTACTACTGTGTGTCGGTGTATGTTTGTTGGCTACTACAGCTTTAGCCATGTTATTTTGCCAATATATCCAAAGTGTTCTAACTTCACTTTGATGGCTCACAAAGCCTAATTTTCGGTATGACTCATACACTTGGCTCTATTCGAGACATTAGTAGACGTACGTAATTGTATACTACATCATACAAGCTCTCCCCCAATCGAATGAATCGGCTGTTGCGTTCTCCTAATCGATAGAGCCATGCTCAGCTCCCGCTGTGGGGCATGAGGACCAACTAATCCCATATTGCTCCCATGTAGAATTGCATGCGAGAGGGCAAACTCGGTCTCGTTGGCGACTGCACGCTCGCGTCATCTACCTTGATATACATATATGTATCAATATAAACATAGGCAATGCTTATATCCATCCATGCCTTCTACTCCGGCTGAGGTGTACCTTTCATTTCCAATTAAACCACTACACAACCCATCCGTCTTCTGTCCGCAGGTGCGGGTGCGCATGGAGGAGGGCTTGCTTGATCCCATTGGCTACTACAAGCTCTTATCCTCCGCCGTGGATCGTAGTGCAGCTGTTATAAGCGTGCTAGACCCAGACAACTCACTCGGCTCATCCTTAGGCATTGCTCGTCTTGGTACGTGCTATAAATAGACACTGCACACTGAGCGTACAAGGGAGAGATAAACCGTATACGGATATGTGATTGCGTTGCGTGCGATCGCTTTGTGGCATCTACGCTCGCAGTGTCTGTGTCTGTAAGCTTGTATTGATGTGTACGTATGTGTTGTGTTGTGTTTGTAGCAAGGTGTATGCCTGGTGTCGAGTTGTTCTTGCTGCCATGAGTGTTCCACACATTCAATTACCGGTGTGAACAAGCAGAGAAGTGGCAGTTGTCTTGTTCCTCGTTGTTAATTGTGTTCTTTATATTCATCTCTCGTGTATGATGTAGATGTGGCATCTTTAAAGACCAAATGGATTAATGCTCAACTCAAACTTCACACGTGTCAAATGTATCAGATTTATCACATGTATAGTATCTAGTCTGATCGATTGATCACGTTCCCTTGCACTGTGTAGGTGCGGATCCCAAGGGCGACTCTTCACAGCCACCTCGAGAAGGCCAGGCAAAAAGTACTTCACCCCCCGCACAAACACATCGGCAAACACAGACACAAATACACCCGCACGCACACGCACAAGCACACGCACAAGGAGATCAAAGCACACGTATGAGCTGCGAGGCCGGGACACATGGTGCTCCAAGCACACAACAAGGGCATATGCATCAGCACATGCATGCAGACACTGGCGCCGCCCATGCAATGGAGGGTGAGTGTGTCTGGAAACTATAAGCTGTGGTCGCTTTTACTATACCTGTTAGTTGTGACTGTGATATAGTGATGGCTTTGAGGTGGCTGGTCGTTTGGGGTGTGCCGATTGGACCTGTCGTATGCGTGATCGTTTAGCTATTCGTGTGTGAACGCAAGTCATCAACCTTTCTTTTGTCGCTGCTGAGCTTGTACCCTGACAATTGTTATGTAATTGTTAGTGCTAGTGTTATTCTTATTCTTATTCTTATGGTTATTCTTATGGTTATTGATATTGTTATTGTTATTGTTATGTTATTGTTATTGTTATTGTTATTGTTATTGTTATTGTTATTGTTATTGTTATTGTTATTGTTATTGTTATTGTTATTGTTCATTGTTATTGTTATTGTTATTGTTATTGTTATTGTTATTGTTTGTTATTGTTATTGTTATTGTTATTGTTATTGTTATTGTTATTGTTATTGTTATTGTTATTGTTATTGTTATTGTTATTGTTATTGTTATTGTT